TTGCCTTCTGAAACCTCCTCAAATTGATTCTGAATTCATGAATCCTATTCTGAGAGACACGTTATTTGACCCAGGTCTAATTTCCAGGGCTGGCTGCATAATGAAGTCTTTGTGGATACAAATCACAGGGGACAGCAGGTTGTGGCCTCCGCATGGACTGATCCCCTCCCCGAATCAATGGCGAGGGAATTCCCGAGAAAGCAACGCTCGGGTCGATCCTCCTGCCAATCTCGAAGCTTCCGGCCTTGGAACTGTCAGAGGAGAAACTCGCATAGCAACTCAAAAAGGGGGACCTTATGCCGTCTAATGTCCCCCCCACCTCAAACCCACCCCATACAACAAAAAGATGTCTTCTATTTTCCCTCAAATAGAGGAAGAAGTGGATTTAGACTCTTAAGACTGAGCTTCTTAGACAGGCTGGAGGTGGATGATGGAGGAAGGGAGTCAGGATTTTTTTCTTTGGAGACAGGATTTGCTATTTGAAAACATAGGACGCCACTGTCTCTAGGCAATGGCTCATGGCATCCCCGCAGCCCTGGGAACTGAGAACTGAGCAGGTGTCTCTGAGTGTGGGCGTCCGTCACAGGGCTGTCTTCCTCGGGGAAACTCTATTTTGTGGCATCTGCACCCTTTCCAAATAAGTGCCTTCTCCCAGGTAGCCTTGAGGAGTAGATGGGGTCTCACAGCCCCAAGGTTTAGTTCGATTTCACACATATCCCACCTCAGCTACGTGATAGATAGACGTTACTATTAGGGGACACCACTCCTGCCCAAAGGCATTATTGCTAAGAGAGACAATTATGGGAGTATGAAGGGGACGTGTGGAGCTTCAGACATGATTCTCCAGGAAAGCTGCCCAAGGTGCCGGATCCACGGGGGTCATTTGCTGGTATCCACCCACCCCCAGGCTGGCGAGGGAGAAGTCAGATGTCGCTGCGTGGTTGCCAGGACGAGGGACGGAAGTGGAAGAAGCAGCCACAGCTCCTGCACTAACAGGCTTCTGGATTCTATTGTAGAACCCCAAGGATTCCAGGATGTGTGGCAGAAGGGGAGGTGGGCATGGCAAGACAAAAATGAGGGTCACATCAGGTCAAATGAAATCATGACCACAAACTACTAGGAAAATATTTACTTGACAATGAGGAAGGTAGAGTGGCAATGGCTAAATGTTGATGTCTATCATCATCTACATGGGTCCAAGGTCACTAAAAGGCACACCCTTTCCCTGGCACCCAGTGATTGCATTCATAAACAAAGCTGGACACAAATGGTCTTGGGGAGCACTGGGCTTCACCTTTCCAGGTATGGCTTTTGAGACTTAGCTCGAACTGACTACAGGCACTTACTAAAGGTGAAAGGTATCCCCATTGGCATTGTCCTCCTTCACTGATCTCCCAGATCTAACTCACGGTCTCCCAAATCCTTTTTTCTTTTTCTTCCTTAGTCATTCATTTATTCCTTTGGCAATAAAGAATAGCTGAGGCCCATAAACGACAAGCACAGTGCTAGGTACTTGCAAATCTGTATCCATGTAAAAGGCTTAGGACTTCCACACTCTCTTTTTGAAGCACACAGCTTCCTCCAAATACAGCTCATCTTTCAATTTCTGAGAGTGTCGCTGTATTTGTTTCCTCGGGCTGCTGTGACAAAGTGGCACAAACTGAGTGGCTTACTCGTGCAAAAACAGGAATTGAGTGTCTCCCAGTTCTAGAGGCTAGAATTCAAAATCAAGATGTCAGCAGGGCTCTGCTCCCTCTGAAACTGTCAGGAAGAATCCCTCCTTGCCTTTTCTAGTCTAGATCTGGGTCCTCGATGGCGATCCTTAGCAGTCTGCCTCGTAGATGCGTCATCAGTCCAACCCCCATCTCTCTCATCACACGGCCATCTGCTCCCCGTGTCTCTCTCTCTCTCTCTCCTCTCATTATATTGAATTAAGGGCCTGCCCTACTCCAGTATGACCTCACCTTAACTAATTCCATCTGCAATGACACTATTTCCTATAAAAGTGTGAATAACTCCCATTCTGAGGTCCTGGAGATTAGGGCTTCA